CCTGAAGGACCAAACAACACATTGGTTTTTGTTTGAGAGGCCTGGGGGACTTCAGTTGCCTGCCACGGGGCTCCAAACTTGGTTGATTTTACACTTTTTTCAATGGAGCTTGAATGGGTTCAGTGCACCCTTAACGTAACCCTGGTGTCAACGGCGCGGGGATTGAGATCGACAGATATCACCAAATATGGCCATAACTGGTTTTTTTTTCAATGGGCCAACTTGGCACAGATTTTTTGTAATCCTCACCGATCACCCCAGGCATACACCACAATTAAGCCTGTAAACTCCCATTGGCTAGACCCCAACTGCTGCCGAGTTAAAATTCTTGAAATGTCAGTCACCCCAAGGAGGTCATAATTAATTTGGTCGCTATCAGGAACCGGATCTCTTTGTTGATAGACCTGTGCTGACTGGCGGCTGTTTGGGTTGTGACCTGGTATTACTTATACTTCCACAGCAGGATAATAGAATGTAGTGAGAGGGGACCTGAGGGATGCATTATTAGCTACCACAAAACAGTCGTTTAGGTTCAGTCAGGACCGGAAACTGATCTGGAGATCACAATCACCTCGTGAGGAAGGGTGTAATTTAGGGGGCGGGGGCTGCTGCTCAGAGGGTACGTTAAAACACCTTCACGGTACACGTCACCGGCGCATTGCCGTACTACGGCGCTCTGTGAGTGCCATCCGACTTGTTCAGATACCTAGATAATTTATCTTAGTAGGTCGACGTATAAAGCGTATTTAGTCGATTTAACGAGATAAATAATGTAGTTAAGTCGACTTCCTAACTACAGTAAGTCGACATCGACATCGATGACATCAAGTCTGCTTCCAGAGTTCCCTATATCGACTTGGCGCGATAATTTATGTATTTAAGTCGACTTCCTAATTCAACATAAGTCGACTTGTCGAGATAATTTATGTCATCAAATCTAGTACCAGAACTCGGTATGTCGTCTCGGAGAGATAATTTTTGTTGTCAAGTCTACTTCCGGATTTTGCTTGTGTCAACTTGGCGAAATAAGTTAAATACTCAAGTCAAATTCCTAATTCTAGTAAGTCGACTTGGCGAGAAAATACGCTGCAGGTCACGTTCACTTGTGAGTAGTCAGTTCATGCCTGCATGTTGTACACTTGATGACATGGATTATCTCGCCAAGTCGACTTACTAGAATTATGAAGTCAACTTACAACATAATTTATATCGCCAAATCCACGCAGCGAATATTAAAGGCAGACTTGATGACATAAATTATCTCGCAAGGTCGACTTACTAGAATTAGGAAGTCGAGTCATTGACATAGATTATCTTTTAAAGTTGACCTACCAGAATTAGGGAGTTGGATTGACTCCAAAAGTTTTCTAACCAAGTCGTCTTCCCACAGTTTGAAGGTCGACTTGACAACATAAATTATCTCGACGAGTTGACGTCGCGAATTCAAAAAGCAGACTTGATGACATAAGTTATCTGCCAAGTCGTCTCACCAAATAAGGGAGTCGACTTAACTGCATAAATAATCTCGCCAAGTCGACATAGGGAATTCCGAAAGTAGACTTTATTTCATGAAATATCTCGCCAAGTCGACTTACGAGAATTAGGAAGCCGACTAGACTACATCATTTATCTCGTTAAATCGACTAAATACGCTTTATAAGTCGACTTAAGAAGAAACATTCTCTAGGTATCTGAACAAGTCGGATGGCACTTCCAGAGCTCCGTACCCGACGGCACCACAAACCCTCTAACATTTCGCCACCGTGGAAAGCTTTAAATTACAGACCACAGTGCATGCACCTCAGTTATGTCATGCTTTGTTTGCCTGCCAAGATAAGCAAATTTCAGTCGATGTTAACCGACACTAATTGCTGAAACTCATCAGTTTGGCAGCGTCCATTGCGATAACTCACCAGGGCTAAGTACAAACGCGCTACTGACATCCACCAGGATCATTTACATACACGTAAAAATAAAAGAACTCAATAATGGGGCTTGTATCTATAACGATTTATTATATAAAAATAATATTAATCCTTTTAAAGCAATTTCCACAACCACTCTTAAGATCCTCGGAGGGAACATAATTGCACATCGGAGCCTACGAAGCACGTACGCCAAAAAAAAAAAACATGAATAACATTTTTGCACCGTTTCCCCCGCCCAGAACATGTGAAGAATTGCGTTCATGGTTTCTTAATATCGATATCACACATGGGCCCACGTTGATTTTGACATGGTTTGCGGTTAAGGTTGGCAATTTCAGTGACAAAACTGTTGAATAGAATGGTAAACTGGAACTAAAAATCACAAGTTTCTTCTGACTGAACTAAAGAAAAAAATCATTAAAGTTAACGCTATTTATTAAAAGACAAGCGAAATTAACGATTAACATAATTTGAAATAAAATACAATTCAACAGACCCTACTGGCTTGAATAAACCTCCCAGTCAAAAGTTTATGAAGTCATAAAAAGGAAAAGAAATTAAGACAACATGAATGTCTACCGATCAAATCGGGTTTATTTTGTGGCACTTTATCCACAACCATGAACTTTAACATGGACATAAGAAATTGCTGAAACCTGCGCATGCCACGTGCAAAAGTTCAGACCTCGTAAGCACGGCTACCGAAAGCCAAGATCTCTTACATTGCTGAAGGAGTTAGAATTTCAAATAACACGAGTCACTGGCGGATCCAGGGCGTGAAGGCGCAAACGGGGGGCATGGCACCAAAAAAAGGAACAAAACTTGTTTTGTTTCGGCAAAACGATGATTTTGGAGAGACTTTGTTTATTTCCCTCCCTTCCTAAAGTGTCTGAACCTCCTCAAACTCAGCCTCATCCCTCAGAAAAGAAGTAAAAAATTATATGTCGAACTTACGAAAATTTTCCCCCATAACAATTTTGCTCCCTCCCCAAAGTTCTGGACCCGCCCTTGAAAGCGTGCGTGTGCAGACAACGTTAAAGAGCAGCAACGTTTTCAACACACATTCAGCTCCTACACGTATACCTGTCAGATTACCAGAGCGCGCAACACGATGAATAAAAGAACACAGATTGACTCGTCTGTTCCTTGAATCTTTGACAATGCGAATTAACCTGTCACATCATAGTTGAATGTTCAAAAGGATATAAAGAATTAGTTAAATTCTAGACTGCTATAGGTCACTCTTAGGAAACCTGCTTCCCCAGTATGATTACACAGCAGCACAGAGCTCTGACATAACATTTACTTTTATTTTGGCATTTGCTCGAGTGATATGTTGTAAGATTTTAAGGGAATTGTTTTACTTTAGTATATTGATGGCCAGTCATGGTTTAGAACCCACTTGTAGGCAAATAAATATGGATGTGACGTAAAAAGACTCAGGTCTACATGGATCTATCGCAAAGGCATCCTGGAAAATTTAGATACGGTCTGAATGGTGCTCGTAGCAGAGCTGTTTAATAAGGAGAGTTGCAACATGAGTGTCTCAACTGTTGGACCAAACAGGTGGATAGTGCCTTAGTGAGCATGGACAATTAGCACACAATACATGTATATAGCTGCATGCTGCACTGCTCACATATTTGAGCAGCCATGTTAGTTCCAAACTCTGAAGTTTGTGCTATATCTACAGCTCTGAATGATAATTGATAGGAGAGTCGATTGAAGAATGATTACATGTTCACTTGAAAAATGAAGAAAGGGGGACAATGAAGGAACCTCTTGATGGCACACAAGGCTCTCGCATTATAAGAAGTCGTTTGATTGTTAAAAAATCTGTACAGTTTCAAGAGTTCGTGTTAGAATATAAATGGTACGGTGTTTAAAATGACTTTAAAGAGAATGGCACTTGACACCGTGTCTACACTTTCATAGAACACATAACACCGTCATTGAGGAACAAGAATTTAGAAAAGAGACGAAGTTCCCTCAGTTACACGTTTTCCTTATGGCGAAGATACTACAAACTAAATATTACATACGGCTTCTGTTGGAAACGATCCGTGGGCATATAATTTATGCAAATTTCAAGGAATAAAATAGATAGACGTTAAGTGGAAACCATAAGCTTAATTAACCCTGGGTTGCACTCATTATGGCCTGATTAGAATGTGAATTAAGTACGCCTCCTCACCGAGGAAATCCGTTGCAATTACTCCTTATGAAACTCAACCGTCCAAGTTACTACAAATAATGTGCAACCTTTTGCGTGGTTACCAAATGGTAAGTTTTGTGGGAAGTTTGCTTACCAGTACCAGCGAGGCGCTTTTTTCTATGCATAAGATAGTGGGCTTACATGCTGTGATCTTGGGCAAGTCTACTTGCCTCCCATGAATTTGAATGGGCACCTGTGGGGGGCAGAGGTGGTGGCTGTGTTGATTGGCTGTTGCACTTTACAGGACAGCATTGAGCGATACACTCCTGATCCTCAAGGAGCTAATTAGGTAGTTTTAGAAATGTTTATTGGGCCTGTGAAAGGGATAACAATGCACTGCAAAAACTGTGGTGTTAAGTTTAACACCCCCCGTGTTATCAGAGGACTAGATGTACACCAACACTTTTCACTAGTGTTAAAAAGTTTTTTGTTGGTGTTACTTTTAACACTCTCCAGTGCACTGCAACACTTACAGGTGTGGAAAGTAACACCAGCGGTGTTAAAGTTAAAGTAGCACCCTGTGGTGTGGTTATCTGATAACACCAAAAAGTGTTGATTTTAATACCACAGTTTTACAGTGTGATGCATATCGCCCTCAGCACCAGTAATGGTAGATATGTGCACTTTATTTAAATACCTATCATAATACGGGCGATTCACAATAGCGCGCCACCAAGAGTTTACAACACGTTGGCCAATCATAACGCGCGAAATTTGTCAGCCCTTTCCAAACGCACATTAGGTTCGACAAATTTCGCGCACTGTGATTGGCCAACGCGTTGCAAACTTTTGGTGGCGCACTATTGTGAAACGGCCGTATTAAGTAACTCGCCTGTCTGGGGCAAGCCTTCACATTCCAGGTTCAAATTGCACGGTATGCGGATCTGCCACGTTGTCCCAGTCATTCGTTTGTCGCCCACTGCAACGCCTGAACAGGGCGCTGGGAAGGGCTGATGGCTTTGCACTGTGATTGGCTACTTAGTGCACGACCTCCGACCACGAGGTTATCACTTCCTGTTAGCGAAGCGTTATGTAAGTTTTCCATTAGCTAATAGCAGTGCTTTGGCAGAAGCGAAAGTGTCGGCTTGTGTGATAAAAACATGGCCTTGATACAATCACCGTAATTTATCTTCTTACTAAGTATCACTGATCACGTGTCTTTTGGCGATATACATGTACATGTAGTTCAATCATTGGTTATCTTGATCAATTTACAGAAATTTACCCACAATGCTCCGCGCATCGTTAGCTGTGACCCCGTGTGACGCATATCCTTCATTTAAATCTATGCAAGGCCATGCATCCGCCCCTCTCAGCGCACTGTTCAGGCGCTGGGCGACAAGCGAATCCCAGTCACTGTATTCAGTGCAATCAGCAACGTCAACGTTTCTAAAAGGGTGCAGGTCTCATATTGGCAATCCATGTTGGCACGATTCGCTTTGCAATTTATCATTTGTGTGAGCACTGCGCATGCACTCCAGTATCAATCATTACAGTGTCGTCATAGCTACATATTGCGCAGCACGGAATAGACCCACAGCGTGAAACGTGAAAAAAAAACCATGCTACTTGGTGGACTGTCGGTCGGTTCCTACTTCAGAATTTACACATAAGTAAACCAGGTTTCCACTTGTATACAAGGAGGAGAAAGAAGGGCAGCACTTATCGACCCTCCCCCCCCGTTTCGACCTGGTCCCCGCCGTAGAGATTACTTTCGTTTGGTGTGTTCTGGGTGAAACTGACAACGGTTCATGATAGCCGTATTCAGAGTTTGAGGGTTGAAATCGTTTTATTCAACTCCGTCGCCGTTGTGTCCCCGACTTCAGCAGTATGCGTCGTCCTTGTTTCCTCGCCCCTTGAAAACGGTATTTTCAAGGGGCGAGGTGTTTCCATGAAACGGTGTTATCTTGTGATGCCATAATATAACATAATGGCTTACGTCTGTTTTTCCTCCCAAAGTTTCTTGGGTTCATTGTAGGGTAATGATGTAAAAGATTCGTCTCCACCAATAAATCAACGGTAGGATCATCATCCAATGTAACTATGGTCGTGTTTGTCGTTGTGATGGCATTACATTGTTCATTTAAAAGATCCCAAAGGACTGTTTAGGCAAGAAACTCATTTTTGTGTCACAGTTTTGCACTGTCCTCTGAAGTTGTGAAGCGTGTCGTAGTAGTCGCAATCATGATGAAGCGTTCACATGCCGCAGACGGGTAGTTCATTCACTCCCAATACGGCACTCATCTCTAAAAATACAGACAGGACCAGGAAGGCCGCATACAGCAAAATGAGCAGAAGTCCAAGCTTCTTGTTGAGCAGAAAGCCGCTTAGCCGGATCAGGAGCACCATGGCGACGACGTTACCTAGCAACAGCGCCGTGATGTAGACGACGCCTCCACTGTGGATTGCTACGGATCTTCCAGACTGGACCGCAACGGAGCTCAGGAACCAGGGTAGACCCAGGCCAAGTAAGATATCAAAAAGGTTGCTACCAATGGAGTGCGAGATTGCCATGTCCCCGTAACCTGGCGGAGAATACCAGTGAAAATAGCAATGGAAGAAAACGTAGATGCAATCGAGGGGTTGTAGAATAGCAAAACTAAAGTGTGACTCAAAGTTGTTCTCTTTTTAGTTGAGCTTTAAATAGTGGCGATAACAGTGACGTAACTTTATGCCGGAAATTGTGTATGGGGTAGGGATATGGAGGAGGGGTTGGCTTGTCTGGCCAAGAAAATGTGAAGTCGGGATGGAGGGGGTGACACCATAGGCCTCTATACTGAAGTCGATGTTCATGATATTGATGTACATTTGAATAATGTGTTACGTATTTGGAGAATCTTTCATCAAAATGGCATATCTGTGGCTTTTAAAAATTATTTTCCCGTTTTTGAGTGATACTGAATGCATTTTAGTCGTTGGGAAGTCCTAAAAATTCTTCACAATCCGCTTTAACCTTTTGCTTAATACAAAAAAGTTGGGGGATGATTTGATTCAATAGCCAATCCCCCACCTCAAAAAGTGGGGGGTAAAAATACTCCCACCCCCAGGATTTACACCAGTGGCGGTGGTAACTCAGTTGGAGTTCCACTCGATCCCGCAACAATCAATCCCTGCTGAAGTAGGAAATCATAGTCAAGCGTCTATACCGCAGCTTCTTCTGTCACCGTTGAGGGATTGTTAGTGCACGCAGCTCACTGGAACCTTCCCCAAATCTCGACTTCGTCGCGGAATATCAAATTGCCATCATTATGGTTATGCAGCAAGGGACACCCCCACGAAGAAGCAGAGACGTCGGTGGGGAAACACGTCGCTACCTACCTTCTCTAGCCGCGATAACGCTGAGTATGAGGTCGGGAACGCTGGAGCCTGCTGCAAGGAGCGTTAGTCCCATCACGGTGTCTGGTATTCGTAAGGCAAAACCTGGGGAAACAATGTACACGTGTTTTCAAGTACTAGTAGCTTATGGGCTCCGTGCTGGACCAAGAGAGGGTGCAATTTTCTTTTCAACGGAGGCTCCTTTGGTAGTAACTGATCATCGCTGGTTCGCGAACAACTATGAAACGCAAGTGTTGCACTTGCATTGCTACCAATAAAATGAGCACTCCCGACCAGGATGTCTCTTTTCAACCGATGAGGGGGTGCTTCCGCACAGAGCGGGAAATACTTAGCCACTTTGTCGCTGCGCAGGATAAATGACTCCCCAGACGACCACTAAGCAAACTGCCTAATACTGTGAAGATCTTACATTGTTGGCTTTGACACAGAAATTGTTACAAAATATGTTAAGTCCATGCTCTCTCTTATCTACCATGATCGGTTCAGCTTTGTTTTCAAAATGTGAGGGGAAATGATGAGGTGCCGCTGTGATGTGGGCGGAGTGTCAACTGACCGATGACTGTTACCATCCACACCAGCAGGTAGGTCAATCCCCCGATCCAGACGAGGGCAAGTAGGAAGGTGAGCGGGTACCACCGGGCCCACGCCTTCTTGCGGCAGTCGGGGATTGTGACGTAGAACAGCAGCAGGGCCGGTAGAGTCAGACACCAGCTGAAGGTCTGGAGGCACCCTTTCGGGACTTCGAAGGGGGATTTTGGATCCTCCTCGTGTTTGGCGGGAGATTCTTCCTGATCAGGCCTGGCCGTCTCTGTTTTTTCTTCACATGGATGTAGAAACACAAAACAATTTCTAGCTCGATGCGTTTTATGAATAGAGGCTGTACTAATACTAAGTTTGGATGTGTGGTCTCTGTAGATGATAAAGAAAGCCATACCACTTGGAATTTGAACAAAATGAAGTAAACTGACAATCTCTGATGTCAGTAGAGGGAATAAATTAATAAATACTTGGGAAATACGGCATTAAAATCACTGGTACAGGTTCTCGATGAAGTTTGTGAGGGAGGGTGATTTGTTTGGATGGGAGACTTACGGCCGATATAAATAGGGGCCACAAATTATTCACGAACCGGGGGAAGAATCGTGAGACATATAGAACGTCAAACCTTTATCAACTCGTCTGATGTTGCCGTTGCCATTGGCTATGTGAAGCACCTCCTCCTCGTCTTCCTCATCTGACTCCTCCCCCTCTTCCATCAGATTGGCCAGCTCCGTCAGGTTCGCGGCCCCACGCCCCTCACCGCCGGCCCGCCCCGACTCGCCGATCACCAGCCGTCGGCACCGGCACTTGGCCATGTTCCGATCCACGTACCTCTCGGTGGGTGGGTTGAAGTACATCAGGACGATGTACATGCAATACAGTACCAGCATTGCCGCGGACTCCGCCCTGCGGTAAAGGAAGGGGGAGGTATTTAAATGATAACACGAGGGTTGCTTTATGTTTTCCGTCCCCGTGGTAATACCGTTTCATTATAAGCTGCGTCCAAATCACTAGACCACGGCTGGAAATATACCCAGCAAGAAATA